ATTGTGATTAGTGCAGTTTTTGGGTGGGCTTTCCAAAACGGAACCAATCGAAATTTCCGCGAAAGTATAAGGAATTTCGTCATGAAACTTGGTGAGGATGTTGGGCGAGGCCTCCTCAACATGAATTGTTCACTCTCACAATATAATTGCTAATAGTATTTTAGCAATTTGTTGTTAAATAATGTCCACTATCACCCCCTAATTTTTTTAAAATATGCCACTTATCACTTATATTTTGTGTTACATATTACATTTTCAATGCTCACATGCGTATTTTATGCTTTTATTATATATAATTCACCAATTAATTAAGTAAAACGCGTTTATAAATTTGTGTTCACGTTTTACCACTTTTCACAAACAAACAGAAATAACAATGGCCGACAGTAAGAGCAAATATGTGCTGCCATACGTATAAAATCGGCGGATTTTATATAAAACACCCAGTAACCATATATTAATATAGTTCCATATATATCGAATTAAAAAAATCGGATTTTTAAATTGCGCTTATATAAAAATCGCGCGATTTTTTATTAAAAATTTTCGCCTGCGGCGCTTTATATTCTAAAAATCGATACTTCCATAAATAATGAAAATTTTTAATTAAAAATCGCGCGATTTTTTATTAAAAATTTTCGCCTGCGGCGCTTTATATTCTAAAAATCGATACTTCGATGAATAATGAACATTTTTAATAAAACATCGCTTTTTATTATAAAATCGATACTTCGATAAATTATGCAACTTTTTAATCAAAAATCGACCAATAAATAATTAAATTTTTTTATTAAATATCGCGCGATCATTATCTGCATTTTTTTATTGCTTCCGTTTTGTGTTTTTGAGGCATTTTTTCATATGTATGGCAGCACTGACATTTCACTTCAATTAGTGTACAAAGCAAAAGGTGAGGTTAAATTCGGTATTTTTTGCAACTTTAAATGCGAATGTATCTTTTTAAGCAACTATTTAAGACCTGTCCGGAAGGTTAGTGCGTGTTAAGTAACTCTCATAGAGTTTACGACTCATCTGAAGAGGAAGTCGGTGCGCTCTATCAGCATCTTAGCCTAATCATATTTGTTTTTTATTTCAAAAGCTCTGGCATCTATACGTCTTTTCGCTGAAAATATTTCCTTTTCTTTTCAGTCTATTAATTGCTTTTCTGTGATTCACAGACAAATTTATGTGACAATAAAACAAAACGTTCAATATGTCGCGCATTTTAGATATGCCTATACTTTGCAACCTTGCCTTGTTATCATAAAACAGCTGTTAATTATTTATTATCCATTAGATAATCTTTCAAGTTCGCTATAAAAAAAAACAAGCTACCGGCTTATCAACAATCGAAGAATATCAAATTGATAACAAAGGAAGCAATTTCAATTTAACCAGAATGCCGCGGCGAGCTCAACTAGTTAAAAATCTAAGTCGTTTTAAGTTGGTTACGTTCGATATCACCGATACGTTGCTTAGATTCAGAAAGCCTCCCGGCGTACAATATGCTGAGACGGCAGCTATGATGGGTGTGAAAAATCTGGACCCGAATCGCTTACAAAAAGTATTTCGTGATGAATTCAAAGCTATGGCTAAGAAGTATCCAAACTTTGGCAGCAATTCCAAAGAAATAAGTTGGCAGGAATGGTGGGTGCAGTTGGTGCACAATGTCTTCAAGCGCATAGATGACAACTTACCACAGCAACAAATTCGTGGTATAAGCGAAAGACTTTTTGAACAATACCGTTCAAATCAGTGTTATGCTCACATCGAAGGTAATTTAGAATTACTGGAAACAATACGGAGCACATGCAAATATGTTGGCGTCATCTCCAATACTGATCCCGGGTTAGAACGTGTGTTGAGGGATATGAACATTAGACAAAATTTTGACTTTGTATATACCTCATATGATTTGGGCGTCGAGAAGCCGCATCGGGGAGCATTCCTGAAACCGTTAGAGAATTATCATTTAAACCCTCAGGAAGCGCTACATATAGGCAATCTTTATGAAAAGGATTACTTGGGTGCCCTTAATGCTGGTTGGAGTGGCTTACTCGTAACGCAGTCTATGGATGAGGCAAAAAAAGCAAAACCTACACAAGTATATACCAGTTTGAAAGAAATGCATAATGCTCTAGAAACGACTGATATCAAGTGGTAGGCATAGCGAAATAAGGACGAAGCATAACCCGGAGCAAACAATTTTAGATTAAAGTTAACTACACCACGTATATCTACTTGTGATTTTTTAGAAGTTTTAAACGACCATACCACGAATTTAATCTTAACGATTCAAATATAGTTTTTGGTGATATCTGTATTAAGTAAAAATATACACTTAACTTATAAAATTTCGATATTAATACAAAGTTTAGCATTTGTACCGCCAATTATGTAGGGTGTTTCTTACAAAATGTTTTGTCTTAAATTCTATAAGTCTCTTAAGGATTTAAAAAACCTAAAGACTGAAGGTGTGTTGAGAAACGCGATCAGAAGAAAATAAAATTTTGTAGAAACAAAGAACATACTTAAAAATTTTACCCATCTTATTTCATGTATCTTTGACGTTATTTTCTGTAGGTGACGATTGTGCCTTTTTTTCCTTGGCGCTTGCTGCAACTGCAGCCTTCTTCGCCCTCATTGCTTTTATTTGCTCTAAGTTTATGCGTTGTTGTACGTTAAGATTAGTTACTTGATTGAGCACGACTCGCTGGTCAGCTGCCAATCACGTTCCAATGCTTCTGGATCAACATCCTTACCCTCCAAACGCATTTGCATATCTGAATAAAAATCACAAAACAAAACTGGATCTTCGGTGTTTGAAAGTGTGCGAGTACTGCAGTATTGCCCTCTCTTTAATAAATCTTCGTTATTACTTTTTTCATCTAACTGGCGGGAGGCCAGTGGAATCTGTAATATGAAAAGTTCTTTATCGTACTCTTGGCAATAGTTAATACCTAACATGATAAAATTATTTATAAACAATTTTTATTTTTATCATGCTCAAAACTATTTTATGATTACCTGTTGTTGTATTAGCTTTTCGTGGTGTTGTGTTATTTGTGTTTTCAATTTCCTGAACTCTTTTAATTCATCCTTCACAAATTCCAGATAGCTTGAAATAGGTAAATGGAAAAATTAATATGTATGTACATGAAGGAGTCAAATTAAATTTTCCTGGAAATACCGTACCTATACATTTTAGCAGTTTGCTTTGTAAGCGCTTCCAACGAATTAATTAAGTTTTGCATTGGTTGTGCTTGCGAGCCAAGATGTGGTTGCAGACGCTCCGCCTGTACAACTAAATCTTCACTGAACTGTTTCGAATAACGCAAATGCTCCGCAATCAATTCTCGTTGGCGTCTAAGCTTGAGATAAGACTGCTCCACGTAATCGTTGTGTCGTATTTGATCCAGAAAGGCTACTAGATTATGAGGCTCACGCAATAGAAAGGGTGAATCAACTTTCTGTGTAATGCGGCCATCATTCTGCAAAATCCAATGATTTATGCCGTATGCTGGAATGAATATATGATGCAGCAACAAGTGAAGCACCAAGAAAAGCATTGTTCTTGTCGGTGCAGGCACATTACAGGCATAGTGCGTCAAACAAGGAAAGTTCGCTGATCATACGGGTAAAAGGCACCGCGAATATTCACGCAAAGTAATTGTAGAATATTGGCTTGCGCATGAATAAAATTATTATGATTTTAGTAATAAAGTTGTCCAAATTGATGAATTAGCGATAGGAATCTCGCCAAAATTTGATAAATCGTGCTCGACTGTTCTGCTCAAAGCCAACCGGCGCGGCTTTGTTTACATTTGTTGACTGCAGGGTTGCGTTCAAAAGTATACTTTACGAAAATCTTTAATTTTGATATTGTATATACATAAAGATAATTTTAGTAACTAAAATCTTTTTGCACGATTACACATAAAATATACATGCATATTTATATGGTTTAGTGATTTATTTATTATTCAAGATTTCGTTTTCGCACTAGAGAATCCAATTGGAAATTTATTGTAATTTTGACATTGCATTTTTTCATTCGCCACGCGCCAGTGTGCGTGTGTGTGTGCAAGTGGAAGAATGCGCAGTGAAAAGAAAATTTGGATTGTGTTTTTTCAATTTGTCATTTCCTTTCTTTCGCTCCGCTCGTTTTTTGTGCTTTAACCAAAAATTTTTGGATAACGTCTGCGTATGCGGTTTATTATTACTTTTAACTGTATGAAAAAGGAAATAAATATCGCCAATTGTACAGCAAATTTCATTTAATGTGCTTATAAAGGAATTGTGCCTGATAAGCGAGCAATAATACAATAGAGCCGCAAAAGTAAAACCCCGGAAATTGCAACATAAGTTGGTGGAAAAAGTGAACATTGCAGCGTAGCAAGAACGGGAGCGGCGACAGCAGCAACAAAGTACATAAAAGTAATTTTAATACAAGATTGAAGGAAATTGCGGCCACTGCTAAATTATTTGCACTTTTGTTGTGAATTAATGCTCCATTATTAAAAATTGCTGGCCTAAACGGCAGTCAAAAACAATTGGAAAATACTTCCGTGAATCGACGTATGCAACGGGAGCACCAACAAAAAATAAAAGAAACAACCATATTTTGCTGCATTGGAAATCGCGTTCGTGAATTGTTTATAATTGCAATAAAGCGACCGACAAACTATAGCTCTGTTAACTTAATTATCGAAAAAGAAAACAAAGGAAAATCATTTCTCAAATTTGGCTTATCATTGCTGAGTTGTGTGGTGGATTTCATTAAATATGGCTGCGGTAAATGATTGCTTCACGATTGGATCATCCGTGCTCTGCACTACTTGTTTCAACGAAGAGGTAGAAGGCGAAGTGTTAGCATTTGATCACAACACAAAAATGCTCATTCTAAGTATCCTTTTCAAGAAGTTTGGAAGAGTTATTTAGCTTTTTTTGATTTATATATTTGGGTCAAATACATATTTTTTTTTTTATTATATTCTATGCATACATAAATATGTGGAAGCATAAATTGCAAGATTAACACAGTAATATGCGTCCACACATATATTACAACACAAATGTTCTTAGACTAATTATGTAGACTCTGTGCTCAGCGATTCAACTGATAGCAATAGTTGGTGAAAGCTGCAAAGCTAGTAATGTTGCTGAGGTCAATCATTTGATGTGACTTTTGAGAAAAAGTAATATTTAATTATGTAGGTATGTGCCATTTTAGTTGTGGTTGGCAGTTTTTTACATAAACAGCTGCTTAATACTACTGATCAAAGTTAATTAATATTAGGTTAAGCTACACAACACTTAAGAATACTTTCATATACATACACGTGCATATATAAAGCAGATATTTTAACGTAATTATTTATTATTGCGGTTTTGATTACTAATATAGATGGCATAGGAATATGTAATAGAAAACGTTCGTTATTTACCATATTTTGTTCTATATTAACAAATTGATCAAAGATATCAGGCTATGGACCTTATCAATTGCACTCCTCCAAAAAACTAAATGTTTTGAGTACAACGTGGTAAAGCAAAATTTTACTTAATCTGTCAATGGTATATACTATATATGTAAGCTATAAGCTTTATACATACGTATGTAAGTATAAAAATCCCATAGGCATATTCATATTTTTATAAGTTATAAGTAATTAAAGGCATTGAGCATGAGCAGTCTTCGATTTGAACGAAACTTGAAATTAAATAAGCTAACAAGGGCATACGATTAAAAAATGTCTTTGCTTGGTTATAAACATATCAACTTACGTTACAGTTTTCCTTAACCATAACTGCAATTACGCATAATTAATGCAGAATGCCGTTCAAAAAACTCAGAGCAACTGAATGACGTATACGTATTGAATTTGTCGCTATGCAGCAATGTTCAAGTGATCAAGGAGTGCAATGGCAATTTCGTTGAGGATCCACAAAAGCTGAACTTGGAGCAGGTATAAACACGGAAACACGCAATTTGTTTAAAATAGAGTATGAAAAATTTCTGACAATAAGTTTTAAATTACTTTTATTTTTTAGTTAAAAATAAGACTGCGCAATACAGTACAGCAACGACAAACTTATCTTAAGTCGAGGAATGCTGACGTTAGCCTAGAGGCACAAGAGTTATACAGAACAATTGCAAAGCAATTCAAGGTTGGTTATGAAATTTTAAAATTAATATGAGGAAGCAAGAAAAACTCACAGTTTTAATAAATATAGTAAATGTAAACTTTAACATGATAAACGCATCGAAAGAGAGTCACAATCCGTTTTTTATTGTCAAAATTAATAAAATAGAGATACATATTCTCCATTATTAGCTCGCGTTTTGCACCCTATTGCTTGAATAAATCTTTCTATAAATACTTATCCTTTATTATTTTTTTTAGGTTAATGAAGTATCTTGGCATGGACCAAACATTCAAATATTCAATGAAGTCACGGTTTCGCCACCTTATAGGGTGGAAAATGTTATTTCTACTTCTAACAACAAGTCTCTATGCAATTACATCAAGAAAATGGTAACCATAATTTAAATTTTTTACCAACGATAAACTGTTGCTATCTAAGAATGTTTGAACTTATCATTTCCCTCCCCCCCTAGATTGAAAAATTCTTTGAGAGTGCATCACAGGAAAATAGTTCGGCTGCTGCGGGTACATCATCAGCCTCTTCGTCCACGTCGTCGTCGTTGTCTTCATCAGCACCTTCGGCTTCAGTAGGCGCATCTTCATCTAGTAATGCGGCTTCAGGTTCTCCTGTGCCAGCAAATTAATAGAAAAGACCATAAAAACATTTAAAAATATATACAATATAAAATCTAAAAAGTCATCGTTTTACTTGATTTATGAATTTTGTAAATTTGTTGGGCCATTTGCCGATTCAGTGTAAATTTGGTGATAGAAATTATTTAATAAGCATAACTCGGTAAATAAACATTCAGTTCTTGAACTAGGCTTAAGTCTGCTATCGACTTGTGACAGCGCAATTGCTCCATTACGTTCAGCATAAATATTCCTTTGAAGGGTTAATAGCATGAACGAAAGACACAAGATCACGCGGGACGGAAAGAACGAAAAAAGTTATTTTCTAGCTGCCGAAATCTCGACGCCATCTTTGCTGTAAGAAGTAAACAACGAAGAGAACGGAGAAAACCGCGAAATTGTTGAACGCATGAAAAATCATTTTTATTATGCAAATTCTTCTAAAAATCATGCCGTTGTGTTAAATTATTCTTTATCTTATGTGTACACACGTTGTCACAAGCGAAAGTGAAGAAAATTGCAGTAAAAAGCCACCACCAAATTGTAAACAACGAAGAAATGTAACTAAACGGCTAATGTCAAAATCGTTCAACTTTTTTCCTTAATGCGATTCTAACGGGCTAGTCTCCTGCCCGCGTGATCTTGTCTTTTTGGTTCATGGGTTAATAGAACAATCATGTTTAAAAGCCTCAGCAGTCACCCTGTACTTCCGGTAAAGCATTTTCAAAAATTTTATACTTCCGCTTTGTTTCTTAAAAGATAAGTTGCGTTCCCTAACTCGCAAGAACAGAGAACGTTTAAAACAGAGAAGCGGCAATTACGAATAGCCGTGTGAATTGTCAAACACTACCAAAATCGCTCTAGAAGCTCACCACTCGAATCGAAAATTGAGAGCGGCAAATTAACAGATCTGAGCGGCAAGTTAACAGAGCTGAGCGGAGATACAATTTTGTTAATTTGTATCAATTAGTCTGTTCCTTTGAACTTCGGACTAAAACCTGTGGAACTGTCAAACTACAATTTTACGCTCTCAAATGAGAGTAAAAGGAGAACAGATGCAGAAGTGCATAGGAACGCAAAAAGCACTATTTCCTGTAAAAACGTCAGTCGGTTTGTTTACATGTCATTTGTACAACACCGATTTGGCTGAAATATCACTAAATAATTATTAAAATTTATACATATTCAAATATTTCGTTGTTTACTTCCATTTTTTAACAAATATAAGCTTCTTTGCTTTCACTGCTTTCTGTTTTTGTTTGCACATGTAAATCAGCTGATCGTTTGACACTTTTCATGAACTTACAGGAAAAAAATCTCCGGAATAAATCCTGTAACTTCTGACTAGGAACAGTTGCTCATTTACTCTCTCAAATGTGTTCCCACTTACAGGTTTTGTGTCAATAGGAACGACTTCCTGTAAGTTCTGACTAAATCCTGTAAACCGGACTGCTATTGGAACAGACTAACTTTGGTTTGGATTTTCTTTTTCGCGGCATTGATTTAATAAAAAAAGGATTAAAATTCTTGGTTAAATTAGTGAAAATTAATTTACGAAAATATATGCCAGGGAATGCTTTAACTCCAAAACGTAGATTTGTTATTAAAACTATGTTCACATATCAATATTATCTCAAACAAAGCTCGTTTTTTAATCACCCCGTTTACACAGGCAAATCTCAGATTATTAGCCGTCAAATTTGTTGTGCTTGTTATTCTCACATCTCAAGGAAAGTTTATGTTTCTTCTCTGTGCCACCGTGATCACGTTTTTCTGCTATAATAAGCAATATAAATATATTTTAACTTAACATTTTATTAAAAATACCTTTACAAACCTCTTTTACTTGCTAGCGTACATTTTTGTTTACTTTTACATTTGGCATTTCTCTTCTCTTTCGCAAAAACAATCGATAAAACTAGGATGGACACCGAAAAGTTATCGGTTAAATCTGAGATTATTTTATAATTACAGATTAACAAGGGCCGAATTTTATATGGCTAATCTTTTGTTTTAATTACAGATTAGGGTGGTTAAGCTCGAAAATGAGGATAATCTACTTATATATGAACCTAGTATTAAGCTCGAAAATGAGGATAATCTACTTATATATGAACCTAGTATAATAAATATGTGAAAGCTATGCAAATATGCAAACTCATTGGTGATTTGCCGTCGGCATTTGGGTCGAAAAAATCTTTTTTTTTTTAACGATTCTTATTGTAGTTGCTACGCTATTTGCAATGCAACAAACCGCAGTTTGCTAGGTGCCTTAGTTTTTTCCCAAATTCACTTTGAAGATGGACACGTTGACAAAAAAAGCCTACAAATGCGTACTCTTTGATACATAATTTGTTGTCGGCATTTAAAAGCGAAGAAAAAAGCTGTTTTTATTTTTTAACGATTGCTACGCTGCTTTCAATGCAACAAACCGCAGTTTTCTTGCTAGCAAATTCACTCAAAGATGGATACATTGACAAAAACGTACAAAAGCAGCAATTGCATTTGTTAGCAAAGTGGTTTTTCTCGAAAAGTTATGTTTGAGTTTTATGAACATTTATTTCGCGAAAATATGCCATATGCATATAACCTAAGCAGATACCTTTTCTTAAAATCTCAGACCTTTTACTCGATTTGTTCAAATAAATTTAAGTGAAAGTTATGAAATTTTAAGTAAAAGCAATTGCTTANAAAATTTTTAATTTGAAATTTAGAAAATTTTCGGGTATGCAGCTTTGTAGCCCATTCAATGAAGTACAATAAAGTGCAAGTTTCTAGTCATTAAAAATTACCGTTGATTTTTTAGAATTTTTTTTTGTGGAGGTTGTTCGCATTTTCTTCCATTAACACATGATCAAAATTTTTTTTTTGTATGAAAAAAAACAGCAACACCCCACAAAAAAAAATCTATAAAATCACCGGTAATTTTTAACAACTTGGAACTTGCACTTTCTTATACTATAATTGAATGGACTACAATACTGCATACCCGAAAATTTTTTAAATATTCTAATTAAAAATTTGG